GCCATTGCACTTCAGCCTGGGTAACAAGAAAAAAACTCCATCTAAAAAGTTAAAAAAAAAAAAAAAAAAATGTTAAAAAAAAAAAAAAAAAAAAAAAAAAAACCCACTAAAAAAGTTTTTGTTGGTTTGTTTTGCAGCAATACCTAACTAATACGTGCACCCAGTGTAGATGGGATGTCAGGACTCAATGACAGGTTGGTTACTGGTTGTTATAGTTACCTTCTATTAGTGGGCACCCTAAAAGTACTGATTTTTTTTTTTTTTCTGATTTAAAGTTGGATGTTTTGTAAGATAATATTGAGTAATGCAGAAAAACATGTAGACATGTTTGCATGTGATAGGTGCAGTAGAAAACAAACACAGCCTGGGCACTAGGGCCAGCCAAACAGCAAAACAAGTTTGCCTTTAATCTGTTTTCTTCACATCTAAACACTGGAAGTGATGAGTGGGGAGAGACTGAAGACATAGTTTTAATCTCCTGTGGTCCCATCAGCTTTATTTACTATCCGATCTCTGGAAGAAAAATGGGCAACAAGTGGCCAGCAGTGGTGTACCTATGGTTATTTTATTCTTGCTGCCCTATGCTGTTTCTATGGTCACTATCTGTTCCACCCTCAAAACTGAAGAGAGATGTTGGTAAAGGGAGGCTGTCCCCCCGTACTTCTGGCAGAAAAGGGATGTTCAGGCCCTTCATCTGTCTGATGTCAGAGCTGCAGTTCAGTGTGGCAGCTATTTGGCCATATGTGGCTACTGGCTGCCTGGAATGTGGCTGGTCTGAACTGCAATGTGCTAGAAAGGTAAAATACAGAGTTAATTTCAAAGATTTAGTTCCAAATAAATATATATATTTCATTAGTTATTACATATTGATCACATATTAAAATGATATGGTTTTAGATATACTGGGTTAATTAAATTGTTACAATCAATTCCACCTGTTTCTTGTTTCTTTTTAAAGTTTGGCTCCTACAAAATTTAAAATTCACGTGTCGCCCAAATTTTATTTCAGAGGATTGCCTTCTTTTTAAAATTTCAGGCTGCCTGTTTAAAAAGCCAGAAGCCAGGAAGATCATTAAATTGGAAAATTTTGAGTAACTGCTATTACATTATTTGCTTTTGTGAATAGTCATACAATATATTGTTTTTTTTTTTTTTTTTTTTTTTTTTTTTTTTTTTTTTTTTTTTTTTTTTTTTTTTTTTTTTTTTTT